TGTGTAATATAATCTTGACAAAATTTGCAGGTAAGCGTCTCATACAACAACGCCCCCTATAGTTCGTTGCGATCGCGAATAATCTTCAAGTGAACGGAAAATATTGAAATCGAAACATTGTGCAATAAGTCCTAAAATATCAGAATAATTGCGTGGATGTAGTAAATTCCTTTCGTTGTTGTAGCAAGTTGGTTGTGACCAATAGTATTGTTTTTAGTGCATAATGTAGATTCGAATAGTTAGAATTTCTTTGAATGAGTTGAATTTCTGAAAATTTTGTTCGAATAAATTTTAAAATGTAAAGTGCCCTGAAGTCAGAATTATAATGAAAAAATATGGTACTTTTCCGTTTCACCGGCGTAGGTGATAAAGTCGCCAAAGTAACTGTTTTTTTCCTTTATTTATTAATTTTAATTTTTAAATTTTTTCATTTTTAATCAATAAATAAATAAATAAAATAATATAAAATTACAGTCGAATAAATAAGCCGAATAAATAATAGTTACAATAAATAAATAAAATAATAGCCGAAATTACTTGCACCGGCGAAATTGAAAAGTACCAAAAATATATATAAAATTCCCTAACTAGAGTGCAAATTCCACCCACTAATTTGCAGCAGGCTTAAAAAAATATTTTTAAATACCACACAAATACCACAAACTTAAACGGTAGTTATTGTTGTGTTTTGTTTTCTTCTGAAATGCTGGTTTATTAAGGTGTTTGATTAGGATTGCTTGAACACTAAAAAAAAGGGTAAATCAATCCCATTACATATTTAACAGTTTTTTACCAAATACTAAAAAAAAATAATTAATTAATTAATCAGAAAAAAATAAATAAATGATAAGAATTGTATAAAAACTCCAAAACTAAAAAGCATGAAACTTACATGCCAGAGAAAGCAGAATACAGTGAAAATTCCAATGCATGCTTTAAAAATTTGTATTACATACATTACAACCCGTAAAATAAAACAACTCTCTTCATAAATTGTTACCATACGCTGGTAATAAAGATTCTAATCGAAAATTGTACATTTCTCCTAAACCATTTGAATAAATACTTATAAAATTCGCACAATTAAGCAATATACATGGCAGACAACTTTTATTACTTAGCTGCGAAACAGGCAGAGGCACATTTGTTATTCTGATTTGGCAACTTAACAATTAAAACTATTGCTGTCATTTTCTAAGAAGATATCAGCATCAGATTCTATTCATCATTGCAACAGATAGTCATTCAATTATTGAAACATGATTTTTAAAACAAATAGTGATGCGAAGCGTATCGAGCAATTACCCGGTGCCCGGTCCACATGGGGCTAGATTTTGTTATATTCCGGGGACCCGGCTGTAAAATTTAGTTATGCTTATTTGAGTTTTCGTTATGTTTGTCTTACAATGTATTTGGCGTTGTATTAATTTAATTTATAAAAAAGAATTCAATAAAGAATTAATAAAAATTTTAATTCTGATTAATTTAATAGATAGAATAGAAAATGTGATGAGAAACATTGAAAATAAAATAAAGTCTGTTCCGGACTAATTGAGAATTTAAAAAAAAAATTTTATTGAACCATTAAATATCATTTAAAACACATTAAAAAAGAAAAAAAAGATAAATAATAATACTGCATTTTCAATGAACTTTAAAACATTATAAAGTAGCCGTGATTCTTATTTCTTTAATTTTCTTCAAAGAGCATAAAAGCTCAATAAATTCGAAATCCAACCAATCGGAATAGAGTTCTTGTAACAATGGTCTGATAGTAAGAGGTTTTCGTGGCCTACTCCTCCATGTAATGCAGATAGAAGTACATTTCACTGAAAAAGTTCTTTTTGCGAAGCTGAGTTTTCCTCATAGCAGAATACAAGAAGGGGGATTTCTTCTGGGTCGGGTTAAAAGTTACAAAGAGTAGCATATCCTGAAATGCCCCCAAGGGAGCGGGTCAGAGTTAGGCAAATAATTTAAGAATTGCATATCCACTATGTATAGATATTCTGTATAACATTTGTAGCGAAATAAAATTTTCATCCAACCCCTAAAAATGTTAAGAGCATGTACAGGTGGTGTTCCTATTGTTCGTAACGGTACGTAACGGTTCATATGTTACATAACCGTGCGTATTGTACGTACGGTGGAGTACGTAAATAACATTTATATATATTGGATTATTAAAAATTAAATCTTGATAGAAAAGTCTTTTTTTATTTAATTTACAATTATTTTATAAAGTTTATTTCAAAATTTTCCTACTTTTGAAATAATCTATATTCATAAAGGCTATTAAAGTTAATTAAATTTTCCATATATAAATGATAAAGTCTATCACGAGTAGATCTCGTCTCAGGATTAAGAAGTCTATCCGACTATTTATTCTGAATTTCGTTTATAAATTGTTTTAAGTATAGTTTAAAATTTGTAGAAAAATATTTACATACGGATAAGTCGTGTAAAAGGCTTGAGTTAGAAAAATCTTATTCATATAGTTATGTATATTCTTTAGCAAAAATGCTATAATAACTGCATTAATGTTGTACCCGGCTTCAGGTACAGCTTACCAATTATTAAATCAGGAGTTTGGCTAGAAAGTAAGCCGAAGTTTTAAATGGTATCCGAAACCAGCCCTAACAGGAATCTATTTCGATCGGTTACCTAGAGAAATCGCTTTTATTTTGAGAGAAGGTTTATGAAAGCATTTAACCATAAAATCGGACAGAATTGCTGCAACTTTATTATAAGACAAAGTTGAACCATATTTCTGGGCAAACCAGTGCTTTTGAACTTAATTGCACTTTACAATGGTTCAATTTGAACAAAAATTTACTACAGTTAAAACCTTATTATCACTGCATCAACTTGGCATGTAATCATAGTTTCATGTTTTGATATTAATGCTCAAATCTGAAACGATTTTTCTAAAATAGAATTGGCTAATTAGAAAATGTTAAGATTTTGACATTCGAAATAAGGTATTTTACTCATCTAACATTTTATTTATTTTTAACTTTCCATTTATGTTATATTACACTATAAGAAAAAAAATGTCCTTTAGATGAAAACATGCGGCTTTTGCATAATTTTTTATTGAATATGACGATTTTGAAATTATTTTTTGTTTACCAATAACTAGCTTCCCATAAAACCCACATTTCAGCCGGGGGACTTAGCGTATTTTAGCAACGCACAATCACAACTTACAACGAAGAAACGCTTTCATTAGTTCTTTGGATCAGATGGGACAATTTTTGCTATTTTTTAATTAAAAAAAAACAGTCCAATAGTTGGTAGAAAAAATCTGTTAGGTACTCGAAATTATATGTGAGGCAATGATATTTTGACGATGGGAATATTTAAAATAAAATCTTATAATATTATTCAGAAATTATGAAAAGAAAACATTATGTCAAACTTTTATTTTATTATATTTTCTACTCTATTCCTTTTTATAAATGAAAAAAATTTATTGATATATTGAAATTCATAAGTGATAGTGTGTATATAATAACTATTACAAATAAAATATACATCAAATATATGAAAAGAAACATGCATATTTTATCTTACAAATTTTAATTCTTATAATTTATTCTTTGACGCAGATGCTACACCGGTGTTCCTTTCATTTCACTTTTTTTACACTCTAATTACAAGCAACAATATATTTTGGTATTTTTTAATTATAAGAAAACAGTCGAAAGAAAACAGTTTAACGGAATTATATTTGTACTGAAAAACAAAAATTAAAAAAAGTAGTTTGAATTTTTTTTTCTTCATATTCAAAAATTTATAAATAATTTATTTTATAAATTAAAGAAACTTCAATGATGAATAATTTTTCTTTTAGATCTAAATAACAGCAAATAAGTGCAAATTTGAAAAATTATTGTCTGGAATTGTGCCGTGTTTGGAAGATTTTACCTTTAGGGCAGAAAAAGACAACGGCGTTTCATGCTGTATTTCATCCAGTGTGTCCCAAACTTATGACTTTTGTGCACCCTTTTTGAATTTTTCGTGACGTTGTGTACCACTAATAGAGAAATGAATGTATTTTTTACAATAAAAAAATTCCACAAGAGTTGAAAATAAAAACTGATTGTCGACACCACTAATGTATGTTGAAATACATTAGTGGTAATATAATAACTGTTAACTCAGCAAAAAATAGCCAATGGAAAAATAAGTAATCGTAAATTTTCATGGCTAGTTTTGTTTTTAAATAAAACTTTTTGAAATTTTTGTTTGTTGCAAGATATTTCACATAACAACGCGTACCCCCGCTAAATTGTTCCCGTACCCCTGGGGGTACGCATACCACACTTTGGGAAACACTACTATAACCTATTAAAATGCTAAATATAATATTTCCCACTTACTTTGACCTAAATTAATGCAAAATAATGAAAAAAGTATGAAAAATATAATTAATAAAAATTTTGCATCAAAAGATGAACAGTAAGCTTTAAATACATTAAATGGGAGATTTTCAAGAATTCACCATAAGCTTGGGGACTTTTCTCCACCATTTTGGTTTTGATATATAAATCAAATACCTACGCAGGAATCACATAGTTTCATCTAAAAGACGAAAATAAAATAAAAATATGTTGTGCAGTGTCATTAAATAAACTTGCATCATGCAATTAAATGGCGTTAAGGTTACAAAAGGGAAATAAAAGAATAATTTGACACGTGTATCACCAATTATTCCTTGAAAAATATTTTAATGTCAATTAGATGTTTGTCAAAGCCCGCTAGTTATTCCTTGGCAAACAATTGTTAAAATGTTCCTATTTGATTAAAGTTATTATAAACTAATGATATCATTTCGAAACCTGGGATACAATGTAGGAAAATAACATATGTTGTTGATCAAAGAAAATAACATTTATTATTTGTTAAAACTGTTTCTATTTCAGTTATTTTAATTATAAAATTAATTACTTACAAAATTGGGCACATAAGAAAGTTTTGAAACCTATTATTTCAATTTAAAATGTTTTTATTTCAAAATAATGTTTTTTCTTTGTCTATTACTAAACGTATATTTTAACAATGCTTAAAACTTTTTTACGAAATGGAGAAAAAGTACTTATTCTCTTAAGGGAATCATGAAAAATCACTTTACTCAATGGGGCTTAATAAAAAAAATTATGTTGGTGAAATGGAACTAATTCGTTTAAGAGAAAAGTAGAAAATCAAACTATTATAGACGCCAATGATGCCTAATTCATTTTGGTAATAAGTAGGAATTTTATTCTATATTAAAACCGTCGTTGACCCAATTTTTAGTTTAGTACTACCAATGTTCACTCTGTAGCCCTGTAATTTTGAACCGTGAAAACTTTTCACATTTAGCCTTGACGGCAAGGAAACTCTAACCAATGATTCACGGATATTTTTCATCCGCACTTTGGCGCGTGCAAGCCGGATACGAAGTGTTCTATCGACCAGCCATCGTTAAGTTTCGAAACCGGTACACTTCATTAGAAGGTGAGCGCTCTTTCCCCTGAGCCACTACAGCTCTACAGGTAGTGATTATATATATATATTTATACATATATATATATGTATATANCGAATTTCCGTTCCTCTCACAGGATAAAAAAAAAGTAAGAATAGATGAATCGATTTTAATCAACACTACACAATCATGTATGATACCGACGAACACTCGAACTCTTTCTCTTATTATTAAAAAATAAACGAATTTCCGTTCCTCTCACAGGATAAAAAAAAAGTAAGAATAGATGAATCGATTTTAATCAACACTACACAATCATGTATGATACCGACGAACACTCGAACTCTTTCTCTTATTATTAAAAAATAAACGAATTTCCGTTCCTCTCACAGGATAAAAAAAAAGTAAGAATAGATGAATCGATTTTAATCAACACTACACAATCATGTATGATACCGACGAACACTCGAACTCTTTCTCTTATTATTAAAAAATAAACGAATTTCCGTTCCTCTCACAGGATAAAAAAAAAGTAAGAATAGATGAATCGATTTTAATCAACACTACACAATCATGTATGATACCGACG